CAATCGTATTGTTATTGTGGATTTAGACCGTAATTTTTCAGTTTTTGCTAGCGCGATTTGACTTTCAAAGGCTATAATTCTAAGCATCTAAGAGCATAGACTGTGATCATTTCCAGTCGCTATTGGCTCCCGGTTAAAAGTTACGATTTTTTAAAGGAGCGGACGCAATTTTGTGAAATCTTGCGTTTTCAGACCAACATTCAAAAAGCTCACAAAAATCAGCATTCATAGTTAATTATATAAAATTTTTACGTTTCTCAGAATCAAGTGTCCTCTATAGACTGTGATCATTTCCAGCTGCTACTGGCTCTCGATTAAAAGTTACAATTTTTTAAAAGAGCGGACGCAAATTTGTGAAATCTTGCATTTTCAGACCAACATTCAAAAAGCGCACAAAAATCAGCATTTGCTGTTAATCAAATAAAAATTTGTCATTTCTCAGAATCAAGCTTCCTCTATATACTGTGATCATATGAAGTTGCTACTCGCTCTGGATTAGGAGTTGCGATTTTTTAAATAAATGCGCGCAAATGTGAGAAGTTTGCGCGTAAAGAAGTGGCAATTGTGCGAAATTGTTCATTTTTTGAGCAATATTCAGAATAAGCGATTTAAATACAATTTGCACACTTTTCAAGTTCAAGTATTTTCTCAAGACTGTGCTCATTTCAAGTTGCTACTTGCTCTGGGTTGAAAGTTACAAATGTTTAAAAATGAGCTCGCAATTGATTAAAGCTTTTCATTTTTAGACCTGCATTTACACGGCTGGAAAATTTAATTGTGTTTTGCAATTCCTATGAAATTTTCGCCGTTTGCAGATTCAAGCGTTTTGTGTAAACTCGAAGAATTTCACGTGGCTTCTTGCTCCGGATTGGAAGTTTTGAATTTTCAAGTGAAGAAAACAGAAACTTTTAGATAAGAAAAATTTCACATTTCTGCGCGCGTTCTCTCAATATAATCTATTCTTCAGCTGATTCTCTGGCATCTACTAATCAATCCTCATAGCGAATCTTTGATTTACCGATATAACAATCTTCTGTAACGTTTTTATCGAGGGCTTGCAGCGGTTTCATTTACCCATTGCATGTGCTGTGCATCATTGTATGGTGTGAAAATGCTGGTAAAAAACTGGCATACATTTTTTCTTCATACTCGTTTCATCATTAGCGCTGTACATGGAACAATGTACGAATGGAATATCTATGATAATTAAGGCTCGAGTTTCCCAATTTCGTTTGTGAGGCAGATGGGGAAATCTGCTTGCGGTTAATTAGGAGAACACAGGAGTGAAAAACACTTTTTTTGGAAAAAGGGGGCTACTGGGGAGATGAATGCCCGTTTAAAGCCCGACCAATCACTGGAGCTCAATTTTTCAAATAAAGTGTCCAAACTCACCTGCGGGATAGTAATATCCGGCAAAAACACCATATTGGCAGCCCGTTCTTCCTTGCTAGCACTGAAGAGTTTATCGCGTTTTCCAAATGTACAAAACTTATTCATCGCGCTCCGGAAATCTTCCGGTCACTTTTCACCACCAACATCAGACTGGGAAAAATCCCCCACTGGCCTCAGTGTGTCTCCTCCGGAGCCTCCCGCGCTCAGTAAATCTTGAGTTCAGAGCACCGTTCCGATCCTCCCGATAACCGATATAATGATAAATGCCTTCAGCTTCTTCAATCGGCCTACGCGATATCGGCGTCGCTTGCGGATAGAAAGAAGAAAACGGTACTTTCGGTCGTACGGCGCACTGCTTGCTCTCTTCCGAGATAAAGAAATGAGGTTGGACGACTGAAGAAAGAAGAAATCGACCGCTGGCCGCGGGCCAGGACGGTTTCGCTTGAAGAATATCTTCGGCGACGGTCGCGGAACGGGAAGCGGATGCGTGTTGGAGGGGTTGAAGATGGAATTTTCTTGCGATTGATGTTGAAAATACAGCTGACTATTTTACTGGGTTTGAAGAGATTTCCGCTAGATTTCGATGGAAACTTTTAAGTTTTTATTCTTTGGAAACTGAATTAGTTCATAACGCCGATTTCGACCGTAACTGTAAAAACTGAGCTGTTTGCAACGTTTCTTAACCATTTCAAGATCAAAATCTACTCATTACAGCTTAACGGCTCATTTTTCGGATATCGCAATATTGAACACAGTTGAACTAATTTAGCTGCGAGAAGGCTGAATAACAGTTTTCGGAATCACGCCGACCAAATCAAAAGGAAAAAACTACATTAATGTTTACATAAGTAAGTAAAATTGAAACCTGAGTAATAATAAGCGTTTCTGCCGCGTTGGTGCAAATTGAATTGGGTTTTTCATGTTTGCCGGAATTTAATAATAATAAGTTATTAAAATGTTTTTGCGCAAATCGGCTCGTCCCAGCGTTATTGAATCTCACCCATCTAAACAGCGCCAACCCAGGAAAAAATCATTAATAACCCCCTAAGCAATTGACAATCTAGTCAATGATTAATTAATTAGTAAACCTTGAAACACGATTAAACTCCAAATAATTTCAATTCAATTCAATGGGCAGAAGTTGCGAAAATATTCAACAGCATGCAAGACCATCGAAAACTAATGAATGCAGCACATGCAAGCCAATTCTTCGCTAGAATGAGTTGAAAGAGTGCGCGATCTGTTAAATGAAAAATGACTGGATGAAGATCCAAGACAAGATGGAATTATAAACAAATTATAAAGCCATCTCGGGTGCGCCCAGGGGCCTGTTTCTCCTGCAAGGAAAGGCTATGAAAACTGCAGATTAAGAGTATCAACTCAATTAGAGGTGACTGGCTGCTGATGGTCCATGCTAATGATGGGTTTCTTCCTTAGACTTTCTGGTCTCATTTCGATGCTGGCTGGTTTCATTAGGAAACTTAACTCAATTATTGAATGAATCTTGAAGGAAACGTCGGCCTGTTGACTAAGCCTCAGTTCAACGAGAGAAAAACAATTTACATCAATGAAGAGGTAGATTTGGTACTCTTAATATGCCATCGAGCCATCGAAGAACAAGAGAACAATGGAGCATGAGTTCAGCTATTGTCCTGTTGTTGGTAATTTCGGGTTATTTGCTTCACTACATGCCTTGTGATGTAATTCTTTTCAAAGTGGGCTCGCATTGACTTCAAAATTTAAGGCTAGATTACTGAAAGCTGATAAAACATAGCTCGAAACGACCGAATTTTACTCACACCTGATTGCTAATCGGTGCCCACAATGGCTTAGTTTGATGCTAAATGAGGGTCAATGAATTGCGAAAATTCAACTGTTTAGCTCTGCAGAGAGTGTCTTAAAAATATTGTGAGAATTTCAAGTTTTTACATGTTTTGGATTGGGAGAGTGTGCAAATGTGTGGGGTTGTACATTTTTGAGCGGCATTCACACGGTTGGCAAAAATCATTGCGCTTTATGATTTCAGCGAAATTTTTACTGTTTGCAGAATCAAGTGTTTTCTCTACGCCGTGTAAATTTCAATACGCTGCTTGCTCTGGATTAGAATCCAGAAACGTTTAAAGGCGGGCGCGTAATTGTGAAATTATGCGTTTTCTACAAGGAACTAAGAAATTTGAATGTGCGACGATTTGAATGGAATTTTGGTCTTTACTAGAAGCGAATATTTACTGGAAAGTGTGCGAATTTCAAGTTGCTACTTGCTCCGAATTAAATGCTAGGAATTTTTTTTAAGAGAGCGCGTACATGTATGAAGTTCGTTTTTAGACCACCATCCATGAAGCTGGTAAAAATCATTGTGGATTGCGATTCTAATCAATTTTTCATAGTTTTCAGAAGGAAGTATTTTCGGTAATCCTGGAAAATTTCCAGTCGCGACTGTCTCTGGATTAAAAGTTACAAATTTTTAAACGAGGGCGCGTAAATGTGTCATTTTATAAAATTTTCGACTCACATTCACAAAGGGCGCAAACATTGGAATTCACCGAAATTCAAATGAAATTTTGAGTTTTTCTAGAATCGAGCATCTTCTATAGTCTGTGTGAATTTCAAGTTGATACTTGCTTTGAATTAAAAATTATGCATTTTTGAAAAAGACCGCGCACATGTGTGATGTTCGTTTTTAGACCACCATCCATTAAGCTGGTAAAAACCATTTTGGATTGCGATTATAATGAATTTTTCATAGTTTTCAGAATGAAGTATTTTCGGTAATCCTGGAAAATTTCCAGTCGCTACTTTATCTGGATTACAAGTTACAAATTTTCAAACGA